AAAGTAGGTTATATGGTTGTCAATCTCAGTTCACATCAGAGCTTGAAGTTCCAGTGCGTTCTGGTTGTAGAAAAAAAAGTAGAACATGCTGCATTGTTTCTGCACAGAACTGTGTTAGAACGAGGTAAAACACATAAAAAACGCACGGGAACACACATGTCCCTATTTCAATTGAAGAAAAAGAGAGGGGAAAAACTGAACTGGAATGCATATAAACACATTGGAAAATGTCAAAACACCATAAAAAATGCACCGGAACATGGCAAAAACGCATCAAAAACGTGCATGCAGAAACGCATCCGGAACGCATCTGGACTGTATTTCTATAGTGTGAACCGGCCCTTAGAGGTTATTTTAAAGTGACCCTGTGGGGGAAAGTGGGGGAAAAAAAAAAAACACTGATCATACTATGCTTTCTGTTTCTGGGATCACCACTCTGTTCAAGACCTATGGCCTCCAGCAGATTCTGATCTGCAAAATCTGATACTTCCAGAATTGTTCGATCCCCTACCCCACACGCTATGCTCCATCTGCTGGCCTCTATGGCACTACTGGGTCCTATAATTATGTAGTGGACAAAGGATGGAGCCATAGCACAAAGCATAGGAACAGGCATCTGACACTTGGAAGTGTGTTCGCTGTAGACATTTATCTGGAAGCTGTAGCTCTTACAGAACAAGATCTGAGACAAGGGTGGTGGGAAAGGGGTGTACAACATGTCTCCTTTTGCAGGTTTTCTTTTACATTTTCATATTGGTGGCAGGGTCACTTTAAAGTCATTTTTAACGTGGTTCTCGCATTGTTACAAAGTTTCTCTTTGAAATATTACATTAAATGTGTGTTTTTGTAGATTGCCATTAGAGGCACGGTCTTTGAGCTACTACAGTCATCCTGCTTAACTGCATATCTGTTGAGCTAGGATACCAGCCATGCAGGCAGTCAGGGGGGTATCTACCTTGAGGCAAACAAGGCGTTTGCTAGAACGGCAATTTTTAAGGGACGGCATCGCCCCCCTGGAAGAAGGGACCTGGTGAGCAGCGGCAGACAGAGCCATGCGGGGCCGCCATCAAAGGGGTACCGCTGGTACTGCTGTAGGTGGCCCGGACAGCAGGAGGATCAGTGTGGTGGGAGGAGAGCAGTTGCAGAAGGATGCACTGTGTATCTCTCCCTCCAGCAGCTGAAAGCCCTGGTGTTCCTGAGTGGCCGCTCTCCGCTGAGCTCCTGTCCCCGCCAGCACTCAGAGCCAGGAACATGAGAACGTCTGGAGCAGGGAGGGGAGTGGAGAGGAAAGAGCCCGGAGGAGGTGAGCTGTTTTGTGTTCTCTGGGCTCTCCCTGCTGTCGTCCATGCAGCATATGATACATGATCACTGATAGATCATATGTGACTACACACACAGTATGATTACCACCCCCTGCCCACATTTCCTGCTGCCCGGAGATCAGCAGCCCTTGGAGAAGGTGGGGGAGTAATCATACTGTGTGTGTAGTCCCATACGATCTGAGAGGGGAGAGAGAGGAGAGAGAGAATCATATATTCATACACACACTTATTGAACTCTCTTGCTCTCTCATTGGGGGGCGCAACATTTTTTTGGCAGTGCAGTGCATTGTCAAGCAGACTCAATTTTCAGTCAGTTTGAACCATAGAATTGCGAATAATCAACACTAATATACTAAGCAATCTACTGCCCACATGTTCAGTCAATCACCAGGATTCACATATTCATGAAGTCGAAACTGGGCAGTAAATTCACAGCCTAAAGTGTATGTAAACCCTAACAAAGAATATATAATATTATTATTATTATTGGCTCCCTTTTTGGTCTGTTAAAAACACAGTTGAAAGCATTTGGTTATACCTGTTTGATAATTGCAAAGTAATCCCTCCTAGTTTTGATCTTAGACTACAGACTAAGTAGTCCCTATGTTGTAGAGATGAGGGGAATAGGAAGGATTCAGCAGTTTAGTAAAAGACACTTGGGCAGTCCACAAATATATATTTCCTTTAACTGAGAGATTTTTCCAGATAGAGAAGTAGCTGCAAATCTCAAAATAAGAGATGCATTATGAAGTGTATACTACAAAACCATCCATTATTAAGTATTCCCTGCACTGACCATCCTACCCAACTAGTACTTGGTAGAAGACATGCTTAAACCAAAGCAGCATATTTACAATCTGTATGAATAAATTCTTGACATTTCAATATCTACAGCAGCTGATAATTTATGTCAATGAAATAGATCTTGAACCCCCGTCATTGACGATACCTAGGCACAATCAACTCAATGGTGTACACCAAGTTGAAATAATATTTTCAGTTGGGGTAGCATTTTAGATCAGTGCCACTGTGCTATGTGTTAATTAGATTTCATCACCTTAGCCTAAAGCAGTTGAATGATCTGCCTGTTTTCTCTGCATATAGGGATTTCAAACCTCAAGCAAAGGCTCCAAGCTCTCAACCTGCTTATACTGATCCTTCCAGAGGCAAACCGCTGTACCTTAAAGGTAAGTCTTCCATGGTCTAGGCCCCGTACTTCTATTTCTGGCTGCATTATGAAGCAGCATTAGGGTAGGGTTATAGTAAATACGGGGTTATCTTGCCTTTCCTTGTTTTGTTGTTCTTCTGCCTTTTTGAATTCATAGATTAAATCAAAGTAGGGAATGTTTTTTTTTTTTCCCATGTAATTAATTTACTAAATTCTGCACCTTTCCTTCTTGCTTTCTTCCCTCCTGTACTTTTGTACCGCCCCTCTTTCCTTTCCTTTCCTTTCCTTTCTCACCCTTTTCTTTTCCTTTCTTTCCCATCCTATCTACCCTTCAAGACAGTCCTTTCTTCCATCTCTCCCATCCTTTTCTATCTCTCCCATCCTTTCTTCTATCTCTCCCATCCTTTCGTCTATCTCCCATCCTTTCGTCTATCTCTCCCATCCTTTCGTCTATCTCTCCCATCCTTTCGTCTATCTCTCCCATCCTTTCGTCTATCTCTCCCATCCCGTCTATCTCTCCCAGCCTTGTCTATCTCTCCCATCCTTTCTTCCATCTCTCCCATCCTTTCTTCCATCTCTCCCATCCTTTCTTCCATCTCTCCCATCCCCTTTCTTCCATCTCTCCCATCCTTTCTTCCATCTCTCCCATCCTTTCTTCCATCTCTCCCATCCTTTCTCCATCATCTCTCCATCCTTCCTTCCATCTCTCCCATCCTTCCTTCCATCTCTCCCATCCTTCCTTCCATCTCTCCCATCCTTCCTTCCATCTCTCCCATCCTTCCTTCCTTCCATCTCTCCCATCCTTCCTTCCTTCCATCTCTCCCATCCTTCCTTCCTTCCTTCCATCTCTCCCATCCTTCCTTCCTTCCTTCCATCTCTCCCATCCTTCCTTCCATCTCTCCCATCCTCCCATCCTTCCTTCCATCTCTCCCATCCTTCCTTCCTTCCTTCCATCTCTCCCATCCTTCCTTCCTTCCTTCCTTCCATCTCTCCCATCCTTCCTTCCTTCCATCTCTCCCATCCTTCCTTCCTTCCATCTCTCCCATCCTTCCTCTTCCTTCCATCTCTCCCATCCTTCCTTCCTTCCTTCCATCTCTCCCATCCTTCCTTCCTTCCTTCCTTCCATCTCTCCCATCCTTCCTTCCTTCCATCTCTCCCATCCTTCCTTCCTTCCATCTCTCCCTTCCTTCCTTCCTTCCATCTCTCCCATCCCTTCCTTCCTTCCTTCCATCTCTCCCATCCTTCCTTCCATCTCTCCCATCCTTCCTTCCATCTCTCCCATCCTTCCTTCCTTCCTTCCATCTCTCCCATCCTTCCTTCCTTCCATCTCTCCCATCCTTCCTTCCTTCCATCTCTCCCATCCTTCCTTCCTTCCATCTCTCCATGCTTCCTTCCTTCCATCTCTCCCATGCTTCCTTCCTTCCATCTCTCCCATCCTTCCTTCCTTCCATCTCTCCCATCCTTCCTTCCTTCCATCTCTCCCATCCTTCTTATCTACATTTACTGTGTAAATAAGCCATAAAGAGTGCCAAAAGATTGTCTCAAGAGTCCAAAGTCCGTATTGTAACCACAGGAAAACAAAAAACAACCAATGTAGCAAAAGTATCTGTAAGACTCAAAACATAAGCTCCTGGATAGAATTTCTGAAGGAGATGCTATTCATAGGTGAAAGAGCCCTTTCCTTGCCTTACCCACCCTTTCCTTTGCAACCTTCTGTCCCACCCTTCATTTTCTTTCTTATCTTTCCTTTCTTCCTGCCATTTTTTTCATTCTTACTTCCAACCACTCCTTTCTTACCCTTCTACACTTCCCACCCTTCTTTCTTCTATTAATCCCTTCCTTACTTACCACCCTTTTTATATCATTCCTTCCTTCCTTTCGTACTAGTCCTCTTTTCCACCCTTCCTCTACATACCCTTCCGCACTTCCTATCTTTCCTTTCCAGGCTTCCCTTCTACCTTCCATCCATCCATCCTTCCATCCATTCTTGCTAACTGCTTCTTACTATTCTCACTTTCTGCCATGCCTTTCCTCCCTGTTTGCCTTCTCTCTTGAATGGTGGTTAACCATAATGTGTATAAGGAAACCGGAAACTTTATTCTGAAAAAGGTATATCATAGATGCAGCTACAAATTTATATACACTGCCATCTACTAGTTGAAGAATATATCTCTACCGAATACTAATACCAATCTACTTTAATGATTCTCCATTAAGCATTACATTTCTAATTTTGACTTGTCTTTCTCGGTATAGTATGTTTAAAACCACAGACCTTTCCCCAGGTTTATGCAATATACTCTAGTTTAATTTATTAATTTTGTCTTTAGTTCCATTCTGCATATCAATATATTTATAGCCAAATTGGCTTTATTTTTCACTTTTGTTTGTGTCTCACTGCAAAAATTATATTCTATTGGTGTGGAATGCAGGCCTTGTTGGAGTTCCTCAGCAAAGTGGCATCTCTAGAGAAGAGCAATCTCATGTCGTTGTGGAACATTGCCACCATAATGGCGCCTAATCTCTTCTTGTATCGAGAGAACAATTGCAAAAGCCCAGAAGGTGGTGAAAAGCAATTGGCAGAGGGAGTGGCTGGTTTGGTCATGGCAATGGTGCATTATCAAGATCTTCTATGGACAGTGAGTACTCTGGACAATGCTGGAGTTTTCTGACATGAATAGTTGCTTTAAGATCTTCACAATTTTGCAAATACTTATAAAATGTTTACTTTTGTGCTAGCATTTACATCAGTTTTTATATATGTTTGTAGTTTTAAAGCAAAACTCCAGCCAAAAATGACAAGATAAAACTGAATATCCCATTAACCATAGAATAACAAAACCAGATTTTTCTGCATTGTTCACCTTCAATCCAAAGGTTTCCCCCTCAGTACATTTACCTGCTAGTAGTCGTCCCCAGTCTAATGGCCAGCATCATTTATTCCACTTCCTCTGAGCCCAGGTCATCCTGTTACTGAACAGAAAAGGATAAGTTGCACAGTGTTGAGCTCATCCCTCTTTGCTTTCTCTCCTTATCGGCATGCTTCTTGTCAGCACATGGACTGCTTGGCTCCTTGTACAGATTATTCCTCATTTGCTAGAGCCCTGCCTTATAGGGAATGCAAGAGGCTAATAACATGTCAAATTCATGTACTTACACTGCTTGCGTTTAAAAAATTTATTTTAATTTATATATATATATATATATATCTGCATTATTGTGGTCTTTTGATATCTGCCTAGAGTTCAGCTTTAAAGTCCACCTGTATATTACTTGCAGTTGTTTTCCCCTAACTTAGTAAGGCTTTGATGAACCAATAAAAGAAAAAACAAAAATGTTCTAGTTGCCATAGAGGAGTGGGTCTGTGCATGGAAGTCAAAGATTTGCATGCAGAAAGATGATAAGCTATTACATAAGACACCATTATATCTATAGTTGTCCATGGTAGGATGCCAAAGTTCTAAATGGATTAAAACTAAACTTTCACAATCTACTAATATTTTATGGAAATTATATAGAATGGATATTAGTTTGTAATTGTTCTTTGTGTGTCTATTTATTTGGTTGTTATATTGTCAATCTCTTGGTATTTCCCAGGTCCCGACCTTTCTTCTGTCCCAGGTCCGCAAATTGAATGAGAACAGCAGTAAGAGGTTCAATGACCGTCGACTGCTCAACTTCCTGCGAAAAATCCACACCGATAAGGAAAAGCCAGAGAAAATTCAGACAAAGGTATGTCCAGCACACAGGTAATTGGAAAGGAAGTTTAATGGATGACATAAAGCTTTGGTTAGAATGAACCATCTCTAAGAGAAATATGCAGAGCTGCCATTGCTGGCTTCCTGCCTGAAAGTACTAGTCTCTAAATAATTATGCTGACCCCCTTGGCTTTGATACTTTGAGCCGCTGACCAGGAGAAAGCAATATGTAGATCTTCAACATCAGAAGTCCTGATCTGCATACTTATTCTGGGTTATTGACTCCAAAGTAGTGAAGCTGTCACAGGGTCTTCATGATAGCCATGCATCTAACATTCACAGAACAAGAATTAAGCATTGCCAGCTCCAGGTTTCCTTTGAGCTATGAGGCCAATGCAGTTAGCTTAATTGACTTGAAGTTGCCAATGAATGTATGCTGTTTTGTTCAGTTATAAAATCGTGATATCTTAATGAGCAGCATGACCTATACAGGCACCCTATTGGCAAGGGGAACTCCAGAACTGAGTTAGGAGGCACTATGTGGAAGGAACATGTTATATATGTGCACTTACATCTCTCAGTTAAGTCTCTCTTTTTTTTTTTTTCTTTTGTAAATCATTATTCTGTGTTTTATATATTTGTTACAGATGTGTTCATACTAGAAAAGGTGTTTCCCAAACTTTTGCATAGTAACTACATCTATGAGCTGTCAGTACTGGCCCCTCATTCTCCCCTTCTGTGCAGTGAAATCCCTGGTCTGAACTTTGTATTCAGTAAATTCCCTCCAGAAATATAGAATTTTTTGTTTTTTAATAATAAACTTTATTAGAGTTTACATCCTGTAGACAGAATCAACAGAGGTAGGCAAGAAATAAAACGCCATACAGCCCTTCATACATGACATCACCATAGGGCCAAATTACATGGGAAGAAACCTTACATACATACATGGGCCCACCATTCCATGGCGGAATAGTCATCACCCTTTGCACCCGAAGTTGGCTAGGAGAAAATTAAGTAGGTATAGCCCAAGGGCCAAACCATACTTGACCCAACTAAATATCTATGGATGGGAGGCAGCCCCTAATGGAAAGGGTCAAGGAAGAGCGCAAGGAAACCGAAAAAAAGGAAGAGAGAGAAAGCAATAGAAAAAAGAAAAACAGGCCCACAAACAGGAGCCCATTTGCAACCCCCCACAGCCACTCATAGCTCCAGAAATCCTAGATTCTAAAGTGTATTTAAAGCAAAAACTTATCTGCTTATTCTCGTGACAGCTACCAGGAACTAAAGGTAACCTAGTGATTTAAATTCGGGGTCTCCAAACCTTCCAAACAAAGGACTAGTTTACTGCCCTTTAAATAATGGGGGGTCTGGACTGTGGCCAGTGGGAGTGAAATGCCCTGGCAGTGGTGGGAGCAAACAATGCCATAGGCTTGGTGGTCAGTGGGAGTAAAAACTTACATTATTGGTGTCTATGGGAGGAATAGTGCTCGATAATTGGTGTCAGTTGGAGGAATAGTGCCATATCATTGGTGTCGGAGGAATATTGCCACATCATTGATGTCAGTTGGAGGAATAGTGCCCATAATTGGTGTCAGTGGAAGGAATAGTGTCTTGTATCAGTGGAAGGAACAGTGCTTGGATAAAGGCAAGCAAGGGGCCACATCCAGTCCGCATGCCACAGTTTGGAGGCCCCTAATTTAAACCATGGAGCTTCACTGTCTCTAATACAAGTTCCTTTTTAGTTCTGCTTTTGGAATAGAGCTGCTATTGTACCATCCAGATTGAAAACATGTACCACGCTATTTGACGCACTTCTTGAATAGTGTATTCACAGGCCTATGTACCTCTTCTGATTACATCTTTTCATTTTTTCTCCAGCCATGTAAGCAAGTGAAGATCCAAGCTTCAGTACTTGTTAAAGACTCCCTGGCCATTCGACTGGATGAAGGCCTACGTGCAGCAGATGTCTTGAAGAAGTTCCAGGAGCACTTAGCCCAGCGTAACTGGCAGATGATCAAAACTGTGAGCTTGATCAAATGGTATATATCACAGTAAAAAAAACAGCTATTGAAAGTAGAAGTACCAGGATTTGGAACAGCCTAATGCATGACCAGGGGTGCTTGAATTGTTTTTTCTAATACGTTTTAAAAATATAATGGTTTGTCACAATCCCTCTCACTGTTCTTTTATTAATATAAATAAAGACACATGAAAAAATGAATTCATATGCTCAATACTATCAGGAGTAATGGCCTGTGCTGTGCCAGGCAGTATTCCTGCACGGAGGCTGCATATAAAGTCTTCTAAGTTGTAAACTTTTCCCATTTGGACCGAACAATAAGAAACTGTACATGCACAGCACCACGTAGTTCTGCCAGCTTGGTTAAGAACAGAAGCACCCCCTACCATGGCTTAGGCTGTAAGATGCTGTACCAGATGAGATGCTTTGATAACTGAAAAGGGGGTGGGGAGGGGTATGGTTAGGTTAAGATAAACTAAAGGCAAAATGTTTTATTTTTTTAAATTTGCTTACAGTAAAGGAGGGTTGTAACCCCTCTGATTTTCTTTTTTTTCTCTATCATCTGTGCACCTTTTTGGGAGATTTCCTTTTCTGTCCCATAGCCAAAACAGGAAATGAAAGGAAATCTTTCCAATATGAGAGAATCCCTGGTTGTCACCATGGTGACCAGAACTAGTGTCCTCATTTGAAGATTTCTCCTCTATTCTTGTTCTGGTGACAACCTAAAATCTGGGATTTTCATTCACTTTCACTCTCAGCAACAATAGTAACCAGGACAAATGGAGATGGAGAATCTTCTTAATGGGGCCAGACAGCAATAAAAACCTGACAGGTGTTCTAATCCCTCTCCACTGTATTTAAAACTAAAATTCTGGCATGAAGTTATAAATTTAAAGTGGTAGTAAACAGTTTTGTCACATTTACCTACAGGTCAGCTTATAATAAAACTTAACTGTAGGTAAAGTTGATTTCTCCTAAATGTGCACTGTTTAGGAGACATTCCAATTTGTAGCAGCCGGTGACCTCACCAGCGCATTCGTACTGCACTCTCAATGAAGGGTGTACTCTAATATGCGTCCAATGAGAGTGCTGTGCCCCATGACGTCGACATAGCTTCGCCATTCAAATGGCTGTTGCCTGCAAACTTGGAAGGATGACCATGTTGAAGATGGAAGCTCTAGCACATTCTGATATTTGCTTGCAGGGGGACCAATTTTTGTTTTTGTTTTGTTTTTTAATGCAGAGTTTACTACTGCTTTAAGTTATATAAAAGGTATTGTTGTTCTTTCATTTTAAAATAAAAGATTATCATTGGCCTATCCTATATTTTAATATCCTGTCTTGTGTTCTACATATGTAGCTTATTACTACTATTACTACTACTACTACTACTGAACCAGACACATGTTTTCTCTTCCAGCAACGGTCCCTTTGAGTTTCCAAATGTGGAGCTCTATGAAATAGGAGGGAACATCTGTAAGTATGCTTTCTACACCTTACAGGACTACGATTGATTAGAAATATGAAAAGCCTTTACAAGTGTCTTTCTGCTGTCTGCCTACAGGTGAACACTGCTTGGATCCTGATACCTACATGCTGGATTTGTACAATGCTAACCCTAATGGAGAATGGGTGATCAAACCCAGCCCTCCTTCTACACCTATTTTATAGGACAGGACTGCTGATCACTTCATCTAATGTGATGTATATACAGAATGCTGGATACTTTCCAGCTTTGCATGTCCAGAAACAAGGCCTGGTGTGCATTGTAAAGGGATCGAAACAAATCCATGTGAACACAGACTGGACTCTTTTTGCCTTATGGGCAATATAGGTGGTACACTATCCACAATGAAGTAACAGGTCTTGGGTCACTGTCAGAGTCATCAGAGAAACGTGCCTTCTTTTGTTACCAACTACAGTGCCAAATTCAAGGACCGAGTATTTATTTCTGATGGTAAATGTGAATTATAAAAGATAGGAAGAAGTTGCATCACCAGAGGGCGCCGTGTCCCTTTCTTCCGGAATCCTCACCGGATTTTAAACTCTCCCTCCTAATGGACTGTACAGATGTATGTGCTGATTGTATGTGTTGACACAGAGCTAGCCTCTTTGTTGTAATTAATTTTTTAGATCTATTTTTGTTACCTTCGTATTTAAATACGTTAATTAAAAAAAAGTGAAGTTGCTGGAAATGTATTAGTATGGTCAGCGATCATCTTGTGTTCATCAGACTATTTAAAAAGAGAAAAAAATACTATTCCGTTTCCTTCCTTGTTGGAGGGAACCAGTCATGATGAGTATAGAGGCTCCCATTGCTGAGCTCTTGATAAAGCGTTCCATCTATGTTATTGATACTTGGTTTTCTGTACTTTCTAAGTCGTTTGACCTTGAACAAGTGTGTTGATCAGGAGACCTTACATCATTCTCACTGCACTTGTTGCATTCTTGTTCTAAGTTAGTGATTTACACAGCAATAAAGCCAGATCATCACCATGACAACCTGGTAATCTAGCATTAAAAGGACCGCAATGGCAGCATTGTTGCATAAAAAAGGAACATTTTTCTGTTAAAGGTCAACTCCACCCAAAACCAATGGTAGATATTGGAGTGCTTGTCCACCTGATGGCTTCATGTATTTTTCAAGAACTTTGTTGTTCACTGAGCCCTCCTAGGTCATTATGAGGAACAAATACAATCTTTAAACTTATTCTCCCTAGAGAAGAGACGCTTAAGAGGGAATATGATAGCAGTATATAAATATCTGAATGGTGATGCCAACACTGGGAGGAAACTATTCAGCCTCAGGTCAGTCAAGAAGACAGGTGGCCACTCAAGAAGTTGGACGAGAAGTGGTTTAACCTTAAACTGCGTGAAGGGTTTTTTACTGTTAGAGCAGTAAGGATATGGAACTTTCTTCTGCAATTGGTGGTTTCAACGGAACTGTCATTAATTTTGAAAAAAACTTTTAGATGGCCATCTTACTGAACATAATATACAGGGATATGAGACGTGATAGAGACATAAATACACTCGCCCACACAGGTTGAACTAGATGGACTGATGTCTGTATTCAACCTTACCAAATCTAAAAACTATAACAAAAAAAGAAATTTGTGAGGGGATTGAATCCTTTGGAATTTTCATTTTATGTTTTGAAGAATGTAATGGGATGAGTGAGAACACACAATAGAGAAAGTTTAACATACAAGACTCCCAGATGCACCAGAAAAGAGCCAGGAATAATGGCAGTGAAGTTCCATCTAAAAAATAGAAGATGGCAGGGGTTGCCTACCAGGGTCCATCTATAACTCTTTGGCTGGGTTGTCCATTTTCATATACTTTACTCATATTGATTTATTATGTGGTGCTAAGCCAAACCTGGATTCAAACACTTTCATTATTTGGAAAGACATTGCAGAAGTGGCCTGGAGAGGGATGTGGGCACAATTTACATGCAGTTCTATATAATGACCAATCAGTTTACAGCCATATCCCAAATGTCTTAAAATCTATATGCTGAACTTTTCATATCATTCATGTTTACAGCAAAAGGCCGCTTTCACATGGGGTGGGCTCCCTTTAGATCAGCAGGAGATGAGCAGAGCAGGAGGGTGACAGGTCCGTGTCTGCTTAGATTATGTAGAGCAGATATGGACCAGTGGGTGTAAATGGACTCCGCTGTCCATTTACACCCGACTGCCCTCTGATTCTCCTTCAGTAGACCAGATCAAATTGGAGGTAGGTGGGTGTAAATGGATCCATAGAACAGAGGATCCGATCAGGTCCTTCTGCAAAACTGACAGGTGGACCTGATCGGGGCCTATGCTACGTAACCTTTTTTTTATTTAAAGCAAACCAGTGCATTGCCCATGTAAAGTAACAGGTTACATTTTCAACAATCCTTCCAACATCACATACCTTTCATTCTCTCTGGCACCAGTCTGCCTAGCCCCTAGGAGTGAAGGAATATACCTGGTACATTCTGTTATGAAGGAACATATGAGACCTCCTTTTATCATGTGACTTGCTTGGTGATTGGCCATTCACACACCCGCTGCTGCCATCAGCGCCACTGGCAGCTAACACAGGGTTAATTACCCCTCGCTCCCTCCAGCCAAGCCAACCGGAACTCCAGGCAGATATAAATGACACAAATTGATGCAGTCCTGTATTCATTCATACATCATAGAAAAAATACATTTAAATACAAGCATTGTAAGTACCTGAATTTGAAATGGTATCAGCCTACTACTAGTCTTTAAAGGCTAAGTTCACCTTTAGAAACATGGTACATGTAACACCCATATTTAGGGTGAAATATGTAACATGTTCCTAAGCACCCACCTACTACCCCAGGGCCCTCCCCTGACAGCATGCACAAATCTCTTCCCAGAGATCTGTGAACTAATAAACTACATGTTCCATCTACCACTGTGGCATAAGGGCTTGTAGTTCTCAAAGGACTATGAGTGCAGTAATCAGCACACTCGTAGCACATCTAACTGAAAGCCCATGCGGAGAGCTGGAAGAAGCGGCTTCAAAAGCTTGACATTGCACCCCCAATTCACTGATCGCAGGTGCAATGCTTTGCAGGCTCCTGTGTAAAAAAATAATAAATGCACAAGTTTGCCTTTTAAGCAGTCAGATTGTGTTCGGATGTCTCACCAGCGTCGAGGTTAAAGTGACTGCAGGCTTATTAAAACTACTTCTGGGATCTGGTAATGCGTATCTGCACTTGGTTATCTTTTAGAGCTCTGAAATCTGGGTTGCTGTATTATGTACATACTAACTTCAGGTGCTAAGCTGACCCTTTGGCCCAACCACTCCTGTACCACCCGTCACATCAAGGCCTGTGTCTTGGCCTGCAGTTTTGGCCACTTCAGACAGGCATTGCTTTCCCACACAAGTCTATAGGAATGCTAAACCCACTTAAAGCAAGTCAAATGGAGGTCAACAATGAACAAAGAAGTGTCTCTAACTGATACCATCGACCAGTCGACACATTTGGTAACCGGTCATGGGACACAGAATGGTTCAGAATTTAGATTTTTTTTTTTATTTTAAATAGTATAATGAACATTTTTTCCTCCTGCAGCCGCTGAATGTTGGCAGGAAGGATAAGCTGGCTTTCAGGGGTTGCAGGCGGAAAATGGAGAGGATCGGTTCCTGTATAAGTTGCGCCCACTGCTCCTCCTGTCAAAGTGTAAAACAGAATGTGAAAGGAGGCTGCATGGGACAGGGTCCCCAGTGGTTGGAAGAGTGTGGTAAAAACATGTCTCAACTATGGAGTTTTACTCCCCCCCAACCAGACATGTAAATGAGTCCTTGCTGTCCTGAGCCCACTCTAAGGCCGCTTGCAGAATGATGCCCTATGGTTTATCTGCACTGTGGGTGCAGTATAGTGTACCTGCGGGTTAGCTGCTCATTGCTATTCTATTCTGTTCTGTTCTATTAGATCTTGCTAGTGTGGTGCATTTTTTGAAAGTGCACAAAACTCCTGCATTCATGTTGAGGTAGAGGGCCACCGGTTGAGCACCCCCGTCATAGATGAATCTGTTTTTTTCCATTCAGTCAGCAGGTTGAATAAAAGATGTCCTCCCTGGTGAGCCTTTGTACTCTGATAGCGGGGAGGCTTCCCGGCTATCAGAATACACTGATCAGTGCTGCCAGCTATAGCCTGTGTCTCTGATCGAGCAGGGAAAATCCAACAACAGGGCGGTTATAGAGAAGTTGATCAGTAGATTGACTTCTGTACAACCCTCCTGCCCATACATGTATTGAAATTCGACTGGTCCCTGTTGAACCAGAATAATTTTGATCCATGTATGGCCAGCTTAAGGGTGCACTTACACTGGCTGGTTAAATTGAACTGTGCCCAAGTTTGATTTCCCCGCTGGTCTGCACTTATACCAGATTATAAGGAAGGGTTCCTGGGCACACTCCTCTGCAAACCAGACCAAGTGACCAATGCTTCAGTACATTGTCATTCATGGAGAGTTCTGTGCTCCGACATGGTTTTCACTATTCACACCAAAACGAACTATACCAGACCACAAGTGAACCACCTCTTCCAATTTGTCCCATGTGCTATTTGGAGCACATGTACTACACAATCAAACTGGGGCTGAAACATGCCTGGGAGTAGTTCAAAGTGCTAGTGTGATTGCACCCAAAGACTATGGCTATAAAGGCAATGACATATTTTTCATTTCTGAGAAATTTAAATCTAAACTCCAGGGAAAGTAAAAATCAACCTTTGCAGTTGGGCTGCCCCTGCACTGCAATGATTAAATGCTCATTTATTTATAGGGGACCTGAAAACACAGAAGGCAGTTTGCTTGCCTATTTCTCCACTACCACAGGACTGGTCCCTGCAACCTCTTCTTCCCTATGCTCTGGTGATCAGATGGATGCCCCCAATGTCATCAAGACCAATGCAGGGACCATAGCTGTGCACTGGAAGCGAGGATGCCAAAGAACAATCCACTGCTGGTGCAATAGGGGAACGTAGTCTCCTAGGCATGTGGGGATCAGGTTGGTAAAACTGCTTTTCTCGTCCCCTAACCCTTGCAGTGTGGGGTCAACTCCACCGAAAAGGGAAGATTTTTACATAGCCTGCAATTTAGGTGTTACCGAATTGTTGGCATTCATCTTATTTGCACTGAAAT